TCTGTGATAAATTAACAGCGGTGATAAATTTTTTCAGGTTTTTTTTTTGTTGTTGTTGTTTTCCTTCAAATCAAATTACTTTAGTTTAAGGAGTTTTCAAGTGAAAAAAAAACATCAGCAGCTCTAAGGAAGCCACTCAGGCAAGCACGTGCCCCAGCCCACACACGTCCATGAACTTCACAGAGCAGCCATTCCAGAGCTGTGAGCCTCGCTTCATGCTTTCACTGTCAATTACATTTTTATGCTCTTAGCCACTACAAAAGCCTGAAAAAAAAAAAAATCCATACCGAGTTAGAAATAGAAAAGCAGGTAGCTTTATATCCTCTGTCATGACTCGTGCCCTTTACCTGCACCCACCCTTCCTCCTCATCTGGTATCTACCTTTCTTGTTCTCCTTTCCACATGTCACACTGTGCCTGCATATACATTTGTTAACGTGTGTGTGTGTGTGTGTGTGTGTGTGTGTGTGTGTGTGTGTGTGTGTATTGGTGGGGGTTCAAGACAGGGTTTCTCTGTGTAGCCTTGGCTGTCCTGGACTCGATTTGTAAACCAGGCTGGCCTCAAACTCACAGAGAGGCACCTGTCTCTGCCTCCCCGACTGCTGGGATTACAAGCATGTGCCCCCATGCCCGCCCTGTTAACATATATTTATATATACATTATAGGCTGGGATCTGCCTATGAAGGAAAAAACACACAGTTTTTCTTTCGTTCTGAGGTTAGATGACTTTGCTCAGTATTATACATTCGAATTCCATCCATTTTCTTATAAACTTTGTGAGCTCATTTTTTCATCAGAGCTGAATAGCATTCCATTTTATGTATGTACCATATTTTCCATATCCGTTTACCTGTTGATGGACAGTGAGGTTGGTTCCATTTCCTTGTTATAGTGAATAGAGCATCAGTAAGTACAAGGGTGTGGAGTTCCGGGTGTATGCTGAAGACTGACTAGCTGGGGCAAATAGTAGTTCTACTCTTAGTTCTTTGAGGAGCCTCCAAATTGATTCCATAACGAATGTAGTAATTTACAGCCCCACCATCAGCGGATAAGGATTCATGTCTTGGTTTGGTTTTTGTTTGTTCTGTCCTTACTGCTTTAAGCAATATTCTGAAGAAGTGGAATTTTGCGTGCAAACTAAATAAGAATCCTGAGTCCTTAGTTGGCAATCGGGGTTGGGGTGAGCAGACCCAACCACGTTGGGGTCTCTCTTTACTGTAGGGGAGCCCTTAGAGTGTGCGTCCTCAGCACTGCCTCAGTTACCACGAGGGTCCACACCTAGTTCCACTCAGTCATTTCCTCTCCAAAAGCAAACTTCTGAAGCCAGGCCTAGGTTTGTAACATGCCAGCATGCAAATGTCCACTGTGCCTGTGATGCCGATGTGATTCCGAGAGGTGGGACAATAGAGTTGGGAGCACCGAGCTGTTAGGGTCAGTGGCTCAGTGTCCCTGCTACTCGGGCTGGTGAAGCATTCGCCGCCCAGCTCCTCTCCCCCAGCCCCACATCAAGCAGCAAGCTGGGTTAGACAGTGGGGAATTAGAAGAAGAGGGAGTCTAACCCCAGGGCCTTTTACTGCATTTCTTCCCTTCTCTGTCCGCCATCCAGTTGTTAAGGCAGTAACAGGGATTCGTGGGAGTAGGTTGCGGGGTAGAAACAATGTGTGGCTTTCCCAAAATGCATGCTAAGTCATTCTGCCTGAACCTTGGCATCTTAAGAAACCCGGTGTTCTCTGTGGGGGTCAACCTCATCCAGCACAAAGCCTCCTTGAGCCGACCCGGTCTGGTTACTTACTATATTGCACCTTGTGCTTTTTCCTGTAGCATCGTCTGGTCAGGCAGAGAAGGAGCTGACAGACTCCCCTGCATCCTCCAAACGCACCTCCTTCCCAGGTAGCTCTGAGACTCCGCTCTCTTCGAAAAGGCCGAAGGCGTCAGAGGAGATCAAACCAGAGCAGGTGAGGGCAGAACGAATCTGCTGTGTGTGTGTGTGTGTGTGTGTGTGTGTGTGTGTGTGTGTGTGTGTGTGTGTGTAGGGGGTGGGGGCGCGTGTGAGATGTCGGTGGGGAATGAATTTTGGGGTGGGTTGGTCTCGGGAAGACCCAGCTCTAGAGGGGAAGACACAACTGAGCGGAGGGTGGCGGGGGTGTCCTCACAGATGTACCAGTGTCCCTACTGCAAGTACAGCAACGCGGATGTGAACCGCCTGCGGGTGCACGCCATGACCCAGCACTCCGTGCAGCCCATGCTCCGCTGCCCCCTGTGCCAAGACATGCTCAACAACAAGATCCACCTCCAGCTGCACCTCACCCACCTCCACAGCGTGGCGCCCGACTGCGTGGAGAAGCTCATCATGACGGTAAGGCTGCCAGGGTGGGTACCGTGCGGCGTGGCCCTCTTCAGAGGTCATCAGTCTGGGATCTGCCTGGCTCCCCCAGTGCCTTGTTTCACCTTCATAGCTAGCTGTTTTAAGAACACCTTCCCACTAACAGATGAGGAAACTAAGTCTCAGTGATGTCACTCAACCCCAAGTGTCACGTGTCAGTGAGACTCTGGACCCACGTTTTACACCTCTGTGTAGAACGCTAGAACGTGATCCTTTCTCAGGCAGGTATTTTGTTCTCAGCGCAGGAGAGTCACCCGCTTGGGTAGGACATGCTGTTCCAGGAGTGTGCAGGCTTTCCATCTGAGCGTGACCACTGTCTCACCCGCAGGCCTGGAAAGGCTAACTCTTAAATGGCCGTCGTAGACATGGCCAGTAGGACGACATTACCGTTTCATTCTAACCGGACCGCGAAGACTTCAGAAGGCTGTGGCTGGCGACAGTGTCTTCCTTTTCAACTGTGCCAGGCCCACCAGTGGCATAGTAAGGTGACGTGAGGCTGCAGGCGCATGGCTTTGAGAGCATTTCCAATCCAGTTTGCTTAGGTAGAAGTAGTGAACAGTGTTGTATGGGGATGTTTGGGCTCGGTGGTTGATGTACCCAGGGAACGGGAAACAGCCCCTGGGAAACCCTAAGCAGCGTGGCCTCAGCTTCCACCCGGGATCGTTCAGGCACCAATTCCCCTTCCGTGGGCATTTTCGGGTAGGCTGCTCACCGTGTGGGGCGACCCCCTGTAAGAAGGATGGGTCCTCCTGTGCTGGGAGGGGTTCCGCAGGCCACGCTTCCCTCGTAGTCCCCCAGCCTTGGGGCTTTCCCAGGCCTACTCTCACTTTCTGAGTGCCCGCAACCCCGAGAACCTGAAGGATCAGAAAGAGGTGTGGGAGAGAGATGCTGTTTTTGTTTTCATTTTTTCCTACATTTTTCATCTGCTTGGATGGTTGTTTTTGTTGTTTCGGATGAATCTAGTGTAACAACTGTGGGCCTATGGCAATCTCCATGACTGGAACACATTAGACAGTAAATCAGGTTCATATCCCTTAGTACTAGGATGCAAATTGTATTTCAGGTATCCATTGTTGGTTATGCCTTTATTTCTTACATTCATTCATTTATTCATTCATTTCGTATCTGCGGGGAGGGGGGGACAGGGCTTCTCTGTGCAGCCCTGGCTGCCCTGGAACTTACTCTGTAGACCAGGATGGCCTCAAAGTCAGGGAGCCACCTGCCTCTGCCTCCCAAGTGCTGGGATTAAAGGCATGGGCTGCCACTGCCACTTTTCATAACAGAAAGGCAAATTTTAAGTGGTAATTTTCATGGTCACTATGAACCTTTGGCCAGCGAAGTCTTCAAGGGCAGGTCATTACCATGATGTTCGCCTGGGACGCCTGTCCCCCGAGATACCTCTGGAAGTGACCCACTGAACAGCACATCGTCAAGAAGTGACCTCCAGCTATTTCAAAGGCCAGTGAAGACAGTGCCACAGCCACCACAGCCTGTCCTGTTCCGAGCCCCCCTGGTAGCCGTGTGCAGACACAAAAAGCACCTGTGGGAACGCCCCATACGCTGGGAGAACTAGTTGATTAGCTTGGTCTTGAACCCCTGACGCTGAGATTACATGGGAGAAACTACTACCTGCGCTCCTCCCGTTGTACAGACGCCTCACCAGGCCTCATCTTCTCACAGATGTTCTGTAGACGTTTCCGAGAAGTGTGCAAACCGTGGGGAATGTGCCGATTACAGGAAGTCAGTTTGCTAGTATCCGAGAGCTAATAGATTGTGAGGCGGAGTTGAAAATAGTGAGACTTGCGTGAGAGGTGTGACTGTTTAAGTGCTTCTGTGGGCTTCAGAGCAGACGTGAGGGGCCGTCTACACGGGAAGCGGGAGTCGTGACACGGCCGTGCTAGTGGATAGTTCTGCAGGCGATATGTTTTCCTTCCCGATCCCCAACTGATGAGGTCTAGGGGCTGGGGGAGCGTGCAGCTACACTCCAGGGTAAACCTGGAACCCTCTCTAATGCCTAGACTGCTAATCTTGGTCAGATGCCAGGGCCGTTCTTGGGAAAAGTTTGGTGTTAAGATGAAATTTGCAATTGTTCTACAACTAAGTGATGATAATGAACCTGTGGTTAAAATCATGTCCCCAAAGGGTATTTTACAGTAATTTTATTAGAAAATTGGCCCCGGGAAAGTATTGGTTAGGCTTTCTGACAGCTTATCTGTTTGTGCTTAGCCAAGTGGAGCTGCGGGCTCTGAAAGCAGTCTGAGGAGGATGCCTCTAAACTAAAGCTCCCCTTCCCATGTTTCACTGTGAGGTCGTTCATCCTCCGAGAGGAAGAAGTTCCGTCTCCTTGGGTCCCGAATGGCAAGGCAAATGGCAAGGCAAATGGCAGCGAGCAGAGTGGGTCCGGCAAGGCAGCGTTGGCTGCAGAATAGGAAAAGCTGGCAAAGGCTCCCAGACACATGCTCCCTGGTGGAGGTGGGCCATAGAGCAGGGTATCCAAAGCTAGACATCCTGAAGAATTTCTATTTGGTATCTAGGTCTAAAGTTCCCGGGAAGTAGCTTGTATTGGGTTTCAGTCCATCAGAAAGGAAGTTCTGCCTTGATAAGTGGAAGTAGGTTACTTTTTATGCAGTGTCTTTCCGTCCCGTTGTAAGTGGAGACCGTTTTTGAGGAGGCTTCATTTAATAATACCTTATCAGACAGCTTTCAGGAACCTGCAGTGTCTAATACGTCTGTTGCTATGGTAACAGCTGCTTGCTTATGCTCTGCATCTCATATCTGTGTCTTCCATGGGTCCCCTTCTTTTTACTGTTGGGGGGGGGTGAAAACATGCTCTCCGCTGGCAACATTTGCAGCACTGGTCATCTGCTCTAGAATCAGCACCCACACACGTATTTCTTCGTGGCCTATTGGAAACAGAGCAGACAGTATCTTTTTACACATCACATGAAAGAAGGAAATCTCTGAAGTTTTATTTAGGACAAGGAGACAAGTGTTCCTCCTGGATGGTCTCACCCTCCCAGCCCCGCCCTGCCCCTCCCTCCCCCCCATGTTGATTTCAAGTAACTAAAGTCTTATTTCCACACAAGCCAAGGGTTCATGTTGGGGGAACGTTGCCACTTCTGCTCTGTCCCCATATTTATTTCCCCTTAAACCACATCTGCTCTGTCCCCATATTTATTTCCCCTTATCTTCTTGGGGGAAGGATGAGAGCCCCTAAATAAGAATGGGAAGGACCACCCACCATGCGTTTCAATACTCTTAAATTATTCTAATTGATCAATGTCTTCTAAGTGACAGGACAGACCACTGGGATCCTAGATCATTAATACGGGGACGTTTTCTTTGTTCCTTAATCACTTAACAAAATGGGACCTCACAGCTGAAATGAGGCTGAGCCAAGAACACCTTTTTATTTTTTCCTGTAGTCCTTCCTCTTCTTCCTCTTTTCTGGTCCACTATTACTCCAGGTTTTATGCAAGCCAAGGTGTCCCTCCTCTGCCCCTGGCCTTGCCTTGCCTGTGGTTTTCTCTCAGCCTCTCTTTGGGGGACAATAGTTTGGTCTCTTGTGAGCCTTAAACGGGCGTCTATGACTCTCTCTGCTCCATGTATGTGGGGATCTCAGGGGCAGGCTTCCCCTCCCCCACAAGGGGGCCTCTTCTCTTCCCCTGGCCCTGGGGCTGTCACACCCACCGAGTATCAGCTCTTTCACTTTGTCTCCATCTCAGAGGAAGGTAATGAAAATAATCGGGCTTCATTAATTCCAAGCCCTGTGAGATGATAGCCATTTGGAGCCTGTTTGCCAATTAGATGGTCTAAATTAGAAGTGACCTTGGTGGACTGTCGCTGCTTGCCTCTCGGGGTCTAATGAAGCTTTGCTTTCCAATCCATTCTTCCTCAGCTCTCTTGTCTGTGTATGCGCACACGTGCGCAAGTCTAACTGTTGTGTTTCTTGTCTCCCTACTGGCCCCTGTCACCAGCCTTTCTCATTCTGAGTTTTTAAACTCTGGTTCTGGTCTGTTTTTATTCTGGTCCACATAACTGTTAAGGTAGCCTACAGTTTTGTTTGTTTATGTGTAAGTTTTAGGTATTACAAATAACAACTATATAAGCCCAGGGAAGCCATTTTAGAAAGGAAATGTGGGGGAGGAGGTCAGAGTATTCAAAATTAGAGGTGGGTACGAAGAGAGCATTTCAGTGTTCTGCTGCACAGTAGGCCAACTATAGTCAGCCACAGTGTATATTTGGAATATAAGAGAAGCTTTTTAATGTTTTCGTGAAGAAATGATAAATATTCAAGCAGATGAATATGCCAAGGTCCATATTGGCTCAGCACACAAGAGTATACATGTTTTGAAACTTCACATTGAGCACCATAAAGTTGAATAATTATATGCGCCAGTTGACAAGATTTCTGAAAGTAGGCCAGGTGGTACACATCATTATCATCCCAGCACTCAGGCAGGAGGATTATGAGTTGGAGGCTTGCCTTGGATGATATGAGACGTTATGTCTAAAACAAAATACAACTTAAAAAGTATACTGACGATGACGGTGCCAATGGTGAGGATGGCACATAGAGGCAAGGTCTTGTAGAGACTGTGCTGCTGTGCCTTACCTGCAATGAGATGGAAGTCAGGGAGCTGTGAGTGGGGTCTACCTGCGGGGTCTGATAGGGTAGGAGGAGAGCAGGAGAAGGAGACCTGTAGGCTACACACAGGCAGCACCCCACTCAACACTAGCTAGACGTCAGCCCTGAAAGCGATTAAGTTTTCAGTTCATGCCTAGAGTTCTGAGACAAAGCCAGGGCTTAGAGGGCAGCTGGATCCAAGCCACAGGAGGTCAGTCCTAAGGCTTCCCATCTCCTTCCGTCTGTCCTGGGTCATTCGCCATGCGGATTTCCACTGAAAAGTGAAGGCTTTGAGTCTTTCTTGGAAATCTAGGCCTTGGCATATCTGCCATTCGCCTGGTAGCCTTTTGGAAGGGTGCTCTCCTCAGCGAATGCTGGCACCAGGCTTTCTGAGAAGGTATTTCTGCTGTCCTGACACAGCATATGGGAGGCGTTGGCAGTACTGATCTTATCTGGGCCACCTTATCTCGAGGTTGGTTTGACAGACAAACTTGAAGACTCTCTACCATGGGGAATCAGTAGGGTATAACCTGAGCTAAACGTGGAATTGGATGTAGCCCTTCCACGCCTGGCGCCTGGAAGAGCAGGCTTGCTAATGGCAATTTCCCAGAAGTAGTGATGAATGCCCTTCAGACGTCACGGTGGGGACCAGAACTACTGAGACCCCAGGTGTATGAGGGTAGCCGTGGTGCTTTGGGATCCACTCAAGTGATTTATTTATAACTTAAAAATACTGAGGAGGCAGAAAGAGGTTAGAAGTGGGTATTCATGAACCCATGCCAACCGCCTCTAGTTGACCACGGGAAATTCACTCAAGTCCATGGATTTCCCCCTGACGGGGAAACCTTTGATTCCTTGAAATTATGTGAGTTATTCGGTGCTCAAAAACGTTCTTCCTGGGGGCTGCCACCCTCATTGAACTTTCTGAGGGGTTGCGTTCTCCCCAGGCTCCTCTGGGTTGTGAGCTTCTTGGGAGCAGACACGCTGTCTTGCCACTGCTCCTCACTGGCCTGAGCATGGGCACTGACTGGCCGATATTACGTAGAGGGCAAATGAGAAAATCACCCAAGGCCCTCCTTCCCTTTCCACAAGGCCACTGCTTTGGGATTGCTTAGGCGGGAAGCTTCGTAGCCTGATGTGACCCTCTTCGGTTTCTGTTAGCACATGTGAGAATTGCTTAAACTAGGAGTTCAACCTCGGAGTAGAATGCTCCATACATTAAAGCTTCTGCTTCTAGATTTTCGGTACCCACTTCACAGCCCATGGTTCCTTCTGGCATTTTCTTCACCTTTGCACACTCTTGTGATATACTTGATTTTGCCTCAGAGGAGATGGGAGGAGAGTATCTTGGGTCGTGGCCGCCGCCAATCTTGAGAGAGTGCTGGCCCTAATCAGCTGATTGTTTTCCTTAACCAGAAGAACTCTGTCTTAATATGAAGTCTACTTAAATATTCCTGGACAACTGATGTGGCTTGACACGTTTGGTGTTTATAGATGTGCAGGTATCGCGGTTTTTCTGCCACTGTGATGAAACACTGTGACTAAGAGCAGCTTAAAAAAGGGAGAATTGAATCTGCTTTGTGGTTCCAGGGGACTAAGAGTCCATTATGGCAGGAAGACACAGCAGCAGGCACAGGGAGCAGAGAGAGAGAGAGAAAGAGAGAAACAGAGACAGAGAGACAAAGAGAACTAGAAGCAGGGTAAAGAGAAAAATCCTCAAAGTCCATCCTTCATGACATACTTCTCCAAGCAAAGCTGCACTTTCTCAGCCTCTAAATGGCACCCCCAGCTAGAGACCCAGCATTAAAGTATGTCTGCCTGCAAGGGTCGTTTTTCTTATATAAACAACCACAAATGGTCACCAGAAAAATCAGTCCCGGTGCTTGTAGGCACCTGAGCTGACTGTGGATTGGCCATAGTTGGAGGCATAGAGGGCAGGCACCTGAGGAGAGGAAGGTGTTACCTGCAGAAAAGCCAGTGGCAGGCCCCAGTTATCTGAGGACCTCAGAGGTTAGGCCATACCTAGAATGGCCGTGATTGGACACGCTAGGCTTTGACGTCCCTGCTGGAAGGGAAAGCCTTTCTGGATCTTCACTCAGCACAGTTGAGTGACTGGCGTACTAGGCCCACTAGAGACTGTGGCTGTGACCTTCTGAACCTTCCATGCAGTCCAGGAGCCCGATATGTTTGGGAAACCATGGTGGCCAAGGCGAGGAGCAGTGCCTTTGGACCCCTCTGCTCACTGGGCTGGGCTCCTCTGTGAGAGCTGTTGGCATGATGACATTTCTGGCCCTCTAGGACGAAGCTTGGAGTACAAAGGTCTGGAAACTGGCAGGAGGAGGAAGAGACACAGGCCTGGAAACAGGAATGTTTGGGAACTGATGGGGGCCCCCACTGGTCATCTACACAGTGAGGCAGCTTCCCCATGAACCTTTGTTCAGACACAAGCAGACCCCACTTGGTTTCCTAGACCCTTAGATCCCTGGAGGGAACTTCCCTATGCCACCTCACCCCCCGCCTCCCCACACAGGTTGGCACAGCAGAGCGGAGACAAGGCGTGCAGACATAAGTCCCTCCCTGAACACACACGGGGCAGGAGTTCCAGGTTCCGAGGCCAGATTAAGATGCAGGGGAGCATGTGAGGTTGATGATTATATTTCGGGGAGAGTTAATTGATGGAAGGTGAAGGCAGACAAAGAACCGCTGCTTACTGCCTTCTTGAATCCCAATCAGGAATTATGATTAAAGTCGCAGCGAGACAACACAGGGCTGATGAATTGGTGTCTTTTTTTTTCCTCCTTTTTTGCCGTCATTCACACTTGATTGACTTCAACCTTTCAAGTGCAAAAGTCTCTCTTTTCCATTATTATTCATAGCCATCTGAGGTTTTCTAATTAAAGTGTATGAAAACAATTACTGATCCGTCGTACTGAGTCTGTTGGAGGGGATGGCTGCCTTACTGTAATGCCTGTAAAAAGCCCGTGGTTTTCTATAATGATGCGCGGCAGAGGTGATAGATAATTTTATTCTTTTTTACTCTGTGGGGCTTTTTTTTTCCTCATGATTCATTTTTCATAATTCCTAAAGATCCCCAAAAAGGACTGATCATGCAGCTACAACTGAGAAAAGAGGTTTTGAAGGGGGGGGGGTCTTTTTTTTTTTTCATTCTCTTTCTCCCCTTTTACCCCCAACCTCGTCCTCTCCCTCGGCTGAAGACTATAAATTAATCGGTGACCTTTCACTTCTTGGATTCCCGCTGGACTCCCCAACCACCCTGGTCAGAAATGCTTTCTATTAAAAAAGAAAATAGACCGAGTTTGGCAGTCTCCACCCTGTTCGGGACAATTCAACAGCTAGCTTAGCTCTCTAAGCAGCTGCCGCAGGCTCTGTGTGCCGTGCAGCTGTCTGAGGGCGGGCACGTGTTTTTCCCATTCACCTGCCACACACCTGCTCTTCCTAGCATGGGGCTTCTTGGGATCCTTGTCTGTAGCACCTGTTGCTTAAGTTTTGTGCCTATTGGCTTCTGGGGCTGGGGGGGGGGAACATGTCACACGCCTAAATTCGAACTCTTTTTGGTTAGTGGTCGGGGATGTTTCTTGTCTTCTCCTTGTTGAGCCTGTTGTTGGTGACACTAGAGAACATGACAGCAGCTCTTAGAGGAAGGCTGGGATCCTTCAGTCATTAAAATATCCTTAACGTATCAAGCGTGAACAAAACTCTTTTAGTGGAATTGTTGTCCACTGAAGTTTTGCTTGACCAGTACCGTGGGGCCTCCAGGTGGGGCCCAGCACTGTGTCATCTCCCACTTCTCCTCCAGCACTTGTCAAATTCAAGACAATTTCTGATTCGTTTGGAAATGTTCTGGCTGACAGTTTCTCCCGCCCCATGGCGGGCAAAGAGGGATGGCCGCTGCTTTTCTCCTCCCTTCTAGTTTGGAGAACGCCACACATGCATACAACGAGACATGACCATAGCTGCTCCCTGGCCTGCCCTCCAACACCATCCATGCCGTACACCACCCACGAGCCCCCTCCCAGACAAGGCAGATGGATGGCCTCCAGGTCCCGCTGCACACTGAGGAGTCGCAGGCAGTGGGTAGTTGCTGGGAGAGGGGAGATCATCTGGTTCTGAGGAGGTGGCCGCCTGTGCGTTGCTTTTCAGAGGGGAACCCTTATTCCTTAGTCTGCGTGCTAGGGGCTGCCTACCACCGTCACACAGAACCTGCCATAAGCTGTTGGGGCTAGCTCCTGGCCACACAGCAGGGAGGCAGAGAGCAAAGTCTGAGCATCTGACCTAAAATGTAGTTACTTAGATCGGGGATAATTATGGAGATGCTCGTTGAGGGGCTGGGGTCCTGGGCACACACACGCTCCCTCCGATGCTGTGTCTCTCACACAAAAAGGGCTCCGGACCAAATTGTGACTCACCGTGAGTTACAAAAACCGCCTGTTTGTGCTTGATCATCAGCTTGTAAAGGGTTACACGACGTCGTTTCCCGGAAGGTGTGCCAGCGTGTCTGCGCGTCCTTGGCCTTCCCTTTGTTCTCCTCTTCCCTTCTTCCCCTCTCCTTCACTCCGACTCCCCTCCTCTCCTTGCCTGAATACATTTCGAAAGCAGTGCTACAATGCTCCCTGCTTCAAGATTACCGTGTACTTTACCGGGTATGATTTAATTAGGGCCCTTATTATGTTTTCAGCAGCTTAAGGTGGGCCTTTCAACTTATCTAACCTAATTGGTTCAGCACAAGAAGTTTCACAGCCCATGACAAAACATTGTCAGTGATCAAAGTCAAAATTCTGCATAAAAGAAAAATATTAATAATAAGATCATTCTTCAAGTGTGCACTGCTAATTATGTCCAGAATGTAACCGTAGAAACACTTTTGACTGATGTGAGCTTTGTCTAATAAACATGAGTCTTCACTGAGCTATGAAAAGTGACACCTAGCTCTACACCGGTGAAGGCTAATTTTGCTCATTAAATCATTTTTGAACCTTTTCGTAGTTTGTGTCTGTTCCCTGTGCCTGACTGTTCCCATCTCCCTGCTCTCCCCTCTCCTCAGGTGACCGCCCCTGAGACGGTGATGCCCAGCAGCATGTTTCTCCCCACCGCTGTTCCGGACCGAGATGGGAATTCCAATTTGGAAGAGGCAGGAAAACAGTCTGGTTAGTGTCATCAATCTTTATTCCTGCAAACCGAAACAAGATGGATTCTTGGATCAAAATTTTCATGAGGCGAGAGGGCCTAGGGATTCCATGCAATATACCCTGAGTAGATGGGACTGCTGGGTTTCATCACCAGAACACTGTATGCTATCGGCCTCGGCCTGGACCCTGTAGCTTTAAAGTTAAAGGCCTGGCATGAGCTCCAGTGGGATACTGGGGTGGGCGTATGTCCCCCCGGAGGCCTCCATCGAGAACCAAGTTGCTAGAGACTTGCCATCCGGAGGTGTTGACATCCCTTAGTTGTCATAGAATTGTTGGAGTCTTCTGGGCTTGCCTTACTGTAAACACAGCATTTGTAAGCACCACTGTCACAGACGTTCCTGCTGCAGCTGCCATCGCGGAGCGGCCCTTAGGCCTCTGCAAAGCTCTAACACAGACACTGTTACAGATACCTACAGCCCACACTGCTGCTGCCTTAACCTTCCTCCCTGTGATGTGCCCAGATGACTTGGAACAAGCCAGGGTATTTTTGTATATGATGAACTCGTTGAGTTTTAGTAATTGGGAATACTTACCTGCTAGCATGAGCAAGGACCTGGGTTCACGAAAGTGATGCAAAACATTATAGAAAGAAAGAAAAACTTAAAAAGAGAAGCACATTAAATATGAAACTAAATGCCTTGAAGAGACCCCAAACCCAAAAATGTATAACTTCCTCACAACTTAGGATAGCATTAGTGTAGCTGTCCTTTACAGCAGATCTGGTGTGCTAATTTATTTTAAAGGTTTATTTACTTTCTTCTTCCACCCTCCCCCTTTTTTATTTCAATGTATTTACTTTACATCCCAAGGGTGCTCCTTCCCTCCTTTCTCTTCCCTTCTCCCCCTTCCCTTTTCCCTTCCCCCCAGAAAAGGGGAGCTCCCTCATTTCAGCTTTCCCCAGCACATCAAATCCCATCAGGACTGGGTGTATCTTTATCCCCTGAAGCCAGGCCAAGCAGTCCTGCCAGGAGAAAGTGATCCAAAAGCAGGCGATGGAGTCCATATTAGAAACAGCCTACCCTACCCTCCACACACACTCACCAGGCGCCCCACGTGAAGACCAAGCTGCCCATCGGCCACATGTGTGCAGGGGCCTAGGTCCAGACCATGCGTGTGCCGTAGTTGATGTCTCAGTCTCTGTAAGCCCCCATGGGACTGTGTTAGTTGTCTCTGTTGGTCTTCTTTTCTGGTTCCTGTCCCCTCCAGGTCCTTCCATCTTTCCCCAACACTTCCCCAGGACCCCAGAGCTCGACCCCAGAGCTCCACCCCGTGCTCAGCTGCAAGTCTCAGCACCTGTCTCAAGCCGCTGTTAGCTGGAGCCTCCCAGACGACAGTCAAGTTAGGCTCCTGTCTGCAAGCAGAGCAGAGCATCATCAATAGTGTCGGGGGCCATTGTTTACTTTTTATGTGCAGTGGTGTTCTGCCTGCATGTATGTGTGTGAGGATGCCAAATCCCCTGCAACTGGGGTCACAGACAGTTGTGAGCTGCCATGTGGGTGCTGGGAATGGAACCTGGGTCCTTTGGAAGATCAGCCAGTGCTCTTAACTGGCCATCTTTCCAGCCCACATGATGTGCTAAGTTTAATATATATATATATATATATATA